TTTGCTCATGTGCACAGAGTGGCAAAAAAATTTGAGCCACCCAGTGCACATAAGCATTTCCAGCTGAGGATGAACTAAATGACACTCTGCCTTCTTGTTGCAGCTCTCATACTGTAAACAAGTGTTCTTTTATCAGTCTATTTAGAGTCATGCTTTTTGCATTTTTGTGTTTTGTTGGTTTCACTGTTTAGAAAGGCCCCCAAACATAGTGCTCCACTGCTGTCTATTCCTAAGCATACAAAGGCTGTGGTGTGACCCATGGAGAAAACGTGTGTTAGATAAGCTTCATTCAGGCATAAGTTATAGTGCTGTTGGCTGTGAGTTCAGTGTTAATCGGCAATATATATGTGTCTTTAAACAAGAAAACACATAAGTTTATTATATATTGATCAGTTGACAAAAACGTTGTGGTGGGAGGCTTGCAGGAAACTAACCCTGAATTTCCTCTAGGCACGATGGTTTGGTATTCACTAATTCAGTTTTTGTAACGACTTTATAGAATGTGACTACCGCAAATAACGACAATCAGTTGTACGCATGTATGTACAGGTGTATGTAGCTATCACTATGTATTTCCATATTTTTCCACATAAACCTTTTCCTGTGCCATAAAACATCCTTTGGAAACTCAATTATTTGATTGGAAATCTAAAACAAATTTAAAATAATCTGTGAGTCAAAGATCAAATCATAATGGAATTTGAATGATGAAAATACAGAAAAACAAAACATGAAGGCTGTACATAAAAATGTGTTAAAAACAAATGGTCTTTCATGCTTTTATTAGAAAAGAAGAAAGGTTAAAAACAAGCTGAAATCCAACATAAAAAATTTTTAAAATGAATAGCAGAAATACAGAGAAAGTAGATGGCAGAAAATAATAAAGATTAGAGGAGAAATAAATGAGATAGTAAAAAAAAGATGCAATATATAGAATGAACAAAGCCAAAAGCTCTTTATTTGAAAAACTAATAAAATTGATGGATTTTGGGTCGACCCCGTGGCTCCCTTGGGAGAGTGTGGTGCTGGAAGTGCCGAGGCCGAGGCCGTGGGTTCGGATCCTATATAGGGATGGCTGGTGCACTCACTGGCTGAGCGCAGTGCGGGCGACAGCATGCCAAGAGTTATGATCCCCTTACCAGTTACAAAAAAAAATTGATGGATTTTTGGCAAGATTGATAAAGAAACAGAGATAAATAAATAATAAAAAATTAGGGATTAATTGATAGAGATGTGAAGAAATTAAAAAGATAACTAGAGGATATTTAAATAACTTTATGTCTATAAATGTGAAAACTTATGGGAAATGGTCAAATTCCTGGAAAAATATAAATTACAAAACAGACTAAGGAGAAATAAAAAACCTAAATAGCCCTATAACCATTGAAACAACAATAATAAACAAAGGAACAAGAAAAACCTTGAATCAGTACACAAAAATCATCCTTCAAAGAAAATATCAGGCCCAGATATTCAATGGCAAATTGTACCAAATGCTCCAAGAACAGGTAATTCCAATCTTTCACACAGAATAGAGATTAGCAGAAGNTGAGTTCAGTGTTAATCGGCAATATATATGTGTCTTTAAACAAGAAAACACATAAGTTTATATATTGATCAGTTGACAAAAACGTTGTGGTGGGAGGCTTGCAGGAAACTAACCCTGAATTTCCTCTAGGCGCGATGGTTTGGTATTCACTAATTCAGTTTTTGTAACGACTTTATAGAATGTGACTACCGCAAATAACGACAATCAGTTGTACGATGTATATACAGGTGTATGTAGCTATCACTTCCACATAAACCTTTTCTTGTGCCATAAAACATCCTTTGGAAACTCAATTATTTGAGAATATGCATTCTTCTTGAATATCAATTATTTGAGAATATGCATTCTTCTTGAATATTTGGAAATCTAAAACAAATTTAAAATAATCTGTGAGTCAAAGATCAAATCATAATGGAATTTGAATGATGAAAATACAGAAAAACAAAACATGAAGGCTGTACATAAAAACGTGTTAAAAACAAATGGTCTTTCATGCTTTTATTAGAAAAGAAGAAAGGTTAAAAACAAGCTGAAATCCAACATAAAAATTTTTAAAAAATGAATAGCAGAAATACAGAGAAAGTAGATGGCAGAAAATAATAAAGATTGGAGGAGAAATAAATGAGATAGTAAAAAAAGATGCAATATATAGAATGAACAAAGCCAAAAGCCCTTTATTTGAAAAACTAATAAAATTGATGGATTTTTGGCAAGATTGATAAAGAAACAGAGATAAATAAATAATAAAAAATTAGAGATTAATTGATACAGATGTGAAGAAATTAAAAAGATAACTAAAGGATACTTAAATAACTTTATGTCTATAAATGTGAAAACTTATGGGAAATGGTCAAATTCCTGGAAAAATATAAATTACAAAACAGACTAAGGAGAAATAAAAAACCTAAATAGCCCTATAACAATTGAAACAACAATAATAAACAAAGGAACAAGAGAAACCTTGAATCAGTACACAAAAATCATCCTTCAAAGGAAATATCAGGCCCAGATATTCAATGGCAAATTCTACCAAATGCTCCAAGAACAGGTAATTCCAATCTTTCACACAGAATAGAGATTAGCAGAAGAGAAACAAAGACTAGAAAAGAGCAGCATCAGAACAGAAAATAGCAAGCAGGTCAATCTCTCTCATGAGTATAGTAGCAGAAATCCTAAACAGAACAGCAAACCAATCCAAGGATATGTGAAAAAGATGATTTCGTTTGTCCCAGTTTCATTTATTTCAGAAATGCAAGGTTGATTCAACATAGATTAAAAAAAAAAACTAATATAAATAATCATGTAATAGTTTGAAGGAGAAGAGAACACATGAGTAATAGATCCAGGAAAAGAATTCAATAAATTCAACAAGCATTCATGATAACAATTCTCAGCAAACTAGGAAGGAACAGGTACTTCCTTAAGCTGACAAAGGGCATCTAAAAAATTCCTATAGGAAGCATACTCTATTGCGATGTGTTAAAAGCATTTCTTTTAAAATCAGGGCAAAAGAAGGATGCTAGCTATCAACACTTCTATTTGATATTGCACCAGAGGTCCAAGTTAGCACAAAAAACAAGAAAAAGAAATTCTAGTAGTCAGCTTGGGCAGGTTATTAAGTAATCAATAACAATCTCAACATTTCTGAGATGTAAAATGATAGATTAAGGTCTATCAATCATTCATGTCCATCTCATATCAGTGAAGATCCTTGTTCTATGACTATCACAGAAATAAAAATAATAAGGGAACAAAACTTTCATTATTCTCAGATGATGTAATTGTCTACATGAAAAACCCAAAAGAGAACAGACAAATTATTAGAATTAATAAGAGTTTATGATATTGTCAGATATAAAATTGATATGCAAAAGTAAATTTCCCTTAAACCAGCGACAGGAAATACAATAAATATATAGTTGAGGTAATAAACAAATATGGAAGCCTGTGCTCATTTATTAAAGAATATGCATTTTTTCAAACATTTGGAAATCTAAAAACACATTTAAAAACAATCTATGCAAACAGATTATTTTATATTCAATAGAAAAATATGTATGAGGTAAGTAGGGAAAAAATTCTAACAAAACCTTTGTAAGACTTTTACGTAGAAAATTATAAGACGTTAGAAAGATATTATAAATAAGTGGAGGGACATAACCATTTTTATGGATTGGAAGACTCAATATCATGAAAATGTAAATTCTTCCCAAATTGACCCATATTTAATATATTCTAACAAAATCTTTTTTTTTTTTTTCCCTTTTTGTCTTTTTTCGTGACCGGCAACGGATCGCAACCCTCAGTGTCGCGCCCGTACCGGACCGGGACCGGCAACGGGATCTCAACCCTCAGTGTTGCGCCTGCACCTCGCTCAGCCAGTGAGCGGGAACCG